GGGGCGGGCGTGGTGGGGATCAGAAAATTAAAAGACCTAGAGGGATATAGACTCAGGTAGTGGAACAAGTTATTTCACGCTAAGCCCTAACACTTGTGTTGTTGTTTCTTGTAGAGAATGATGATGGGGGGGGATTTCTATTTCTTAGCTCTGTGCTCACACCCGTCATACCTCTGCATTGTCCTTTTTATTGAATAGACCTTTCCAGCTCCACTGCACACCAGCATCTGCCACCAGGGATTGTATTTTGTTGGATATTTAATGCTGTTCTACCCCACAGCTCTGATATCTGGATCAACATGTGTCTAGAATCTGTTTTTTATGTTTGTTTTTTTTACGCTTCAGTAGCATTCCTACATATAGTAGTATTCTCAGATTATGGAATCATAATTTAATAATTTTGTCCACTTTGGCTCAAGGCTGAATTCTTTCCAGATGAAAGCCCATTGCTCATTGGTTAATTTCACTTTGGTTGGATCGGACAGTGATTGGTGTTGCATAGTTGTCCCAACCAGTGAGGAATTAGACACCTGGTATTTGTAATCACTGGCTTTCAATGTGTAGTTTAGGACATGAGCCGCATTTTACAGGCAAAATGAAGATAAGAGCATGGAGATCACTTTTCATCAGAACCCCTCCCTTTGGAACCCTGCATAGGGAAACCAGTCCAGATGGGTCATGAAAAGCTGATGAATGAATCCAAAACAGCATGGTCTGGCTGGCAGAGTGATGGCACAGTGAAGGTGTACTAGACTACCACTAGCATCCTCTTCACGCTTTCCACTCGCCAAATTTACACCGATGGAGCCGGCAGCTGGGAATTTTTCATGTCCAGGGATTAGGCTACAGGGAGCATGAGGACACATCTCACCCCTGCTGCCCTGAGTGCTTCACTCTGTTCTGTGTGAGCTCGCTGCTGCGGACTCTTCTGGAAAGCAGTGCTCGTGCTGACGTGTGTGAGAACCGGGCTGGTGGGGGTGGCTGGCAGCTCACCTGGAAGCCAGGTCATCGCTGCCGAGAAACAGGCTTCCAGTCAGGCCATTACTTACGCGCCAAATTCGCCCAGACTGGTTGATGCCCATCTAACCCAATCATGCGCTTTAGGCTGCTCCACATCCTGCCTCCATCCTCAGGTCAGATCGGGTTGCCCGACGCCTGGACGGCTGCAGACGGCAGCAATTAACGAAATATCCGTCTGATGTAATTACGTGTAAGGAGAGACCCGGGTGCTTGGCGGTCCCTCTCAGGCATGTGTCCGCAGCTACGATGGACATTCGACAGACAGGAGGCACTGTGGCTGGAGCCAAGTAGCTGCACTTTTTGCCCTTGTATTTTTTCTTATCTTCCCATGTATTCTTTTTCATAATGGTTGCGTTTGGATTGCGGCATTCTTTAGCACGAGCCTCTCCTGTGTGTGAGTGGATGGTTATCATGCCTCTCCCACAGTCTTGCCTCCAGTTTCAGCATGCGAGCTCATTTGTTAAACCATAGGGCCGAGTCCCTCCTGCAAAGCAGCGTGCAGATCTTCTAACGGCTGACGGCTAACATGTCCCACTCAATAGACACACCTGCGACTCAGTCCTTTCCCGTTGGCAGCAGTCATGTGACAGCTGTGACGTGATCCTCTGAGGCCTGAACCAAAAGCCAGCTTTCTGTTCCTTCACAAAAACAGGGAGCTGTAATTATGGGCCGAGTTACCCCGGCCCAGGATTACATTCCCTAGGTGGGACCTGCTGAAGACTGGCTGCCAACTGCCTAATCTCACTACTTACAGACAGTGGTGCTGCTTTGATTTCCAGTGTCCTTTTCTGCTTTCTTCACAGGTAGGCCTGTCATGATTGTGGTCGAGTACATGGAGAATGGATCTTTGGACTCTTTTCTGAGGGTAAGGTTCAGTCCTGACCTTCAATAGGAAGCTTCACCTCTACTGCTGACCTCTCAGTGCCCCTCTTATGATACATACATACATACACTACCTGGCCAAAAAAAGTCACCATTTGAATTTATATCAGCAAATACTTAAGAGCCAATGACTGGATCATAATTACAGCTCAGCAACGTTATGCAGCAGTAAAGTCAGCTGAGTACCTGAATCTACTGAATGGCCAGGTTACACCTCCATCCCTCATCAATTCATTTTTTTCTTCCCTGTTGGCATGGGCATATTCCAGGACAAGAATGCCAAGATTCATTGGGTTCGAATCATCAAAGAGTGGTTCAGGGAGCCTGAGGAATCAGTTTCACACATGACTTGGTCACCACAGAATTGTGACCTTAATCTCATTGAAGGTCTTTGGGATTTGCTAAAGGAGGCTTGTCGCTTGTCAATACAGGATCTCGGTGAGAAATGAATGCAAATCTGGATGAGTGTAAATACATACACACACACACACATAATCACAAATAATGCATAAGTCACATAGAGATTTTTTGAAGAGCTACTCTAAGACTGGCTCCAGTCAGGTTCACAACAGGAGGAAGACTAAAAACACAGCGATGGGACATGGAAGAGGGACTTTAAAGGGTAGGAGGTGATGCTGCAGTGTTCAGGGATGGCATGGGGTCAGCAGAACACAGAGAAAGACCATGTCATTGGCATGGAGGTTTGTACAGGTTTACGAGGCCTGGAAAGGACTGAGCACATTGGTTTAACCTGGTACACATTAATGAGAGCCAGCTGGACTGAGTCAATGTGAACAAACCCAGTCACCTGACTCTCCCAGGCAAGACGGCAAGCCATCCTACAATCACAGACCAATGGAGCTCCAAGGTGCTCCATAAATACAGGTGACCAAGTAAAAATCCATGTTAAATGTCCATATTGAAAAAACAAAACCCTTATCCTATATATAAATGTTGGAAAATGTTCAAATTTATTGCATAAATGCACATAAATTCCCCATCTGGAAGTTACCAACAGTTACACAAACATATTAGGATTTTGCAAACATCATCTTTCAGGTGAAGATGAGAAGATGATTCATAACATTAAACACAAAGAACGATGATCTGACCACTGTCCTGTGCAAAGAGGCCACTGCAAATAGATCCGCCTGCTTATGTGCTGCAAATAAAAATCCCATGCAAGTGCCAGTTTTTAATCTATTTTTAAAAAAGCTGTCGGTAAACATCTACTCTCTGTATTATGAGTATGTTCATAGGATGTGTAAGATGGTGCGATGCCTCGGGTCAGAGTGAGAGAGGGAGCCTGGGCATGTCCCTCTCCTGAAACAATACCCACTTCATTAATGACGGTGTCGGACTCCTCTGGAAGGCTGTGACTCTCGCTGCCCCCCCCCCACACACACACACACACACACACACACACACACACACACTGATACTCTCCTCTTCACTCCTCTGGGTCTCACCCACAGCTGTGACTCCAGCAGGCTCATGCGGCGGCGTGAACAGGATGTGTAGACGGAATCCTGGCACTTTCTGCCAGGGCTTTGATTGAGGCAGTGGGAGACCAGAACACTCCATGCAAGATGCTATTTATAAAATTCCCTCTAAAATCCCGCCTGGTGGAGTGTGTAGAATGTTCCTTTCTTTAAAAAAAATCCTCAATAAACTCATCATCTGAATTCTTATCTCATGAAAAGAATCACTTTGCATTGTATCTTTGCTCTGACACGTCAGTCACGTTCTTTTGATGTCGCTACTCAGCCTTTTCTCAAATGGACCAACTAGTTGAATCATTTATCAGTTCTGAATTCTGATGAGTGGATTATTCATTATAAGTGCTGGGCTGTCTGCTGAATTTGGGGTCTGGTTGGTGCTACTTATTAGAGAAATCTTAACGACGATTCAGTCTCCCAGCTGTTTACACCAAGCGTCAGGAAGTGTGACACATCTGCTGTGTATGGGTAGTGTGTCATCATTTTTAAATAGAGTGTTAGGAGAATAGATAGCGCTTCTCAGTTGTGTTGTGTTTATTCAAGTTTACTGTATCCCTTCCATATACCTGAAGAGTTTTAAAATTCAGGCAGGGACTCAGTATGGTTACTCTGATTTTCCATAATATTTACTTGACAGGCTTTTCACAAGTAACATATCACTGTTAATCTGTTTGCTGTTCATGTGAACCTGCAGCCCTGCTGCTCCCACTGCAGACTCTGCTGTTCACTCAAGACTCCTCTACTCTTTGACTCTTTTTGACTCCTACTCCATGCCGCTCGTGCCGATGCTGATGCTGCCTTGAGCACAGTGAGCAGGTTCTTGTGGGCCAGCCCTGGTCTTAGGGTGTATCCTGCCTCTTCTCATCTCCAGAAGCACGACGCGCAGTTCACGGTGATCCAGCTGGTGGGCATGCTGCGCGGCATCGCCTCGGGCATGAAGTACCTCTCCGACATGGGCTACGTCCACCGGGACCTGGCCGCCCGCAACATCCTGGTCAACAGCAACCTGGTGTGCAAGGTGTCCGACTTCGGGCTGTCGCGGGTGCTGGAGGACGACCCAGAGGCTGCCTACACCACAACCGTAAGTCCTGAAATTCCTGTTTAAGGAGAAAAAAAGAGCAAAGCCACCACTCTGTCTCAGTTGGATGCCTAGAGTCTCTTTTCAATGCCCTCTTTGCTGTTACCATTTGCATAACTTAGTCTGTAGTAAGGATATCACCTTGAAGGCACCCTGTTGTCATAAACAAAGTCCTCACGGACTCCAGAGTAGTGCACCTTATTGAATTTTTCAGTTAATTAAGTCACTTGGATGGGGTTGATTTTGATTTACATGAGGCATATAACGGTTGTGCTTTTTCCCCACCATTGAGACTGGTATCCCACAATCCCTTGGGAGGCAGGACACAGCTCTCTAAATAGGGCTGACATCGCTGTGACCTCTATTCTTCTGGCCCTTGCTGCAGGATATATTGCATTCTGGAAGCCATAAGCCATTTTCTGCATGACAGTCACCTCAGCACACAAGCTTTGAGGCTGGTTTTCGGTCCCGTCAGAAAAACAGGCGTGAAGGATTTGAGTGTGCTTCTTATTTGACTTTACCCTTGTGTTGGGGGGAAAAATAATAAAACTTCTTGGAAACAGGACACTGATTCTGTTCCTAAGAGAAAAATAAGCAAAAACATTTGCCAGGTTTACAACAGCACTGGTGAATTTAATCTTCCTACTTATGACACGGTGTTGATCCCTGACTCTGGAGTTCACAGAGGTGAATTGTGTTTTCAGAGTATTTTGCAATAACAGGCTGCCTTTCTTTACCCATACTTTGATACCTTCTACACATTCCACATCCAGATTATATGAATGCGGCAGTTCTTTGGGTATTCCTTTGAGAACATCTCCTTCTAAATATCTCACCATGTCCTTTATTTGCTGTCTGTGGAGATCTCAAGAGGCCTCAGTTGATTTGTTACTTTTCATATTTTTGATTTGTACGTAATGTGTGGCCTCCCAATATAATTCATGCATGCTTATATGTTAGGTCAATGAAATTAGTGGTGTAGTTTTGTGTAATGGAAGTCACTTTGAAAGATTTCAGGTGTCTCATTAATCTCATAAGTTGAAATCTTTGGATAGTGATATTAAGTAATGACATAAATGTTAAATAGATTGAATCTCAGATGTGAACCCCTGAATTGATAAACACTTAGGACTTCCAGTATGATTAATACATACACTCAAAAGCCCCTTTCGCACAATGACTTGAGGACTCAGAAATTCTGTACATAAGGACATTCAGACCCACAGTGCCCTCTAGTGTTCAAACATAAACTTGCATCCAGACCCTGCTTATTGAAATGAATAGTTTTGCACAATTCCCAAAGACCGTTTCATCATCGGGATTAGAAAACACTTGGGGCTGAGAGATGCTCTCTTTTTTTATTGTAAAAATGACAGCAAACTGTTTGTCTACACATATAGATGGAGAAGCAAGAAAACGCACAGAGGATATCCTTACCAAGAATATAAAAACGCAGAACAGGTCAATGTATGATGTTGTTAGTCTTGGCAAAGTATTCATTACCATTACAGCAATTCTAGCAACAAATTAAGTAAATGTGTTTAATTTTCTTAAGAATGACATGTTTTATGCCTAACGTGATCCTTATTATAAAATATGGGTGTTTATTTATTTACAGCTTCTATTTTTGTAATATTCCTGTGCATGGCTCCTTGCACCTTTAGGGCAGGTGCACAGTGCACATGGCGTAATCTGCACAGGATCTGTCTTATAAGGGAGAAGAAGAATGATGCCATTCTGTAGCTGTTCGCAGTTGGGCGATGCACAGTGCCCGGGCAGTGTGATAATTATTGGCAGGTGATAGATGAGAAGCATACCTTCTTATCTAAAAAGCACAAAGCCAAACCTGAAGAATCCCCACAAGCTTCTTAATCTCTGCCCCCACCTCATCCCCCATATCTGTTCTCATCCATAACCCATATCTACCCTCATATCCCCAGCCTACCCCCAATCTGTCTCATCCCTACCAACACATCAGCTCTCACGCCTCCCTCTATCTGTAACCTACTCTATTCCCAGCATCACCCTATCTTAAACCACTATCTTCGCCTACACTCTTCACATCCCATCTTTACTACTGTTTCTTTCCAAGTCTTCATCCCAAACTCCACCTCCATCTTTTGTCACCCCTTCATCCTCATACTCCTCTACCACCCCTATGCTAGACAGTCAGATGGATGGAGACGGGCAGCCTAGCTAAGGCTGCGTCATTCATGACAGACAGGCACCACCGAGCTGCTATCGTAAGAGGCGCCCTCCCTAAGACTGCCGTCTGCTCACTCTCACTGAGAAGAGGACAGCCTCACATTCTGAATGACGGTGCTTATAGAGAAGCTGGTAAACAGTTGGCCATGTGATTTACGCCTGGGGGCTGAAAAAGCAGCTTTTCATGAAATCATGTTTAATTGACTAGTAAGTACTTTTATACCAAGGACTAAAAAGGCAACTCCTGAAAAAGGCTTACTCGTAAATTTTACATCTTGATTGTTATGTTTCGTACTGTCTGTGTCAGAAAAAAAAACCAGGACAAGAACTACACTTGCCAATATCCTAGTTCAGCTTTTACAAAAGTGTGCACTGAGTGAAATAGAAGAGAAAGTGAGGGAATTACTTGTCACTCTTGAGGACTTTGTTTGTTTTTTTTTAGGGTGGAAAAATCCCCATCCGCTGGACCGCCCCCGAGGCCATCGCCTACAGAAAGTTCTCATCAGCCAGCGATGCATGGAGTTACGGCATCGTCATGTGGGAAGTGATGTCGTATGGGGAGCGGCCATACTGGGAAATGTCCAATCAGGATGTGAGTTAGAGTTTGTCATTTGTGTATGGATATCTTCAGTGTTGTGTCAAGTCACTCAGTTTGGGGATGTTCCCTTGTGAGGGTTTACACAGCTTCCCATGTTCTCTCCTGATGCTTATGGCCAGCCTCTATCTATCATTAGTCATAATGTTTTGTCTGTGTGGCCATTGTCATGGTAACAAGAGGAGTAATGCCCTGGAGGTCTAGAGAAAATGATGTGAGTTCCCTTTAAATGGGGATGTCTGTGACAGCCAAGGGCACACTTAACCAGAGCAGGTGTGGATGAGAGTGGATGATACTCAGAAATAAATGGTTGAAGCCGACAGTTCAGAATGCTTCACTCTTTATATTCTTGCATTATTCCAGGACCTAACATCATAAGCTGCAGTATTAGATGACAGTATTAGAATTAGGGTGGCCTGTCCTTACCTAAACTAACATTACTATTGAAGTTATTAGGTGTATTTTGTCGAGATGATCAATATATTTCTGTCTCGTTTTTCTACTGAAACAAAATCAATCCTTGGACAGCATCACTTGGGGGCCTGTAGTCTATGCCGGGCAGCATAGGGCACAAGGCTGGGGTCACCTCGGTACTGCCAGTAAATCCCTGAGCCTCTCCATCTATGTACAGCACTGTTCGATTTTCAATTTGCATTATTTTTCTGGGGCAGCGTCTGCCTTGAAACCCAAGAAAGCCACTGCCATGTTTATCTGCCTTGTTTTTCCTGCTGTACCCTCAGCTTGCAGATATCCGCACTGAGCCGCTAGCAGCACTGTAAGGAATGAGTCGCTGACCTTCTGCCTCCACCGGGGATTAAGGGCATGATAAGATGGAGAGTGTCATTCCTATGCTTTTGCACTTTAATATCTAGTATCTTGTCTGCTCTCGTCGAACAGCTAAGCCACCGCACCATCCGCAGGGGACTGCGAATCGGCTGGGGTCTTGACCCTGCAAAGCACGTGGTTAATATTTTGATTTTCGCTTTCAACCAGGAAAGTGACAGCTGAAGGGGAAGGTTTCTGAGCTGGAGCGTCAGAGCCTGGCTGAGCAAAACCCCCCTTCTGCTCTCAGGTGTTTCATGGCCGGATTGTGCAGATCCTGTTGGCCTATCTCTACAAAGCAGAAAAACCCACCCTTAATCCCCACCCCCTACCCAGACCGGATTCACACCCGGTCATCCTTTGTGTGGGGATTTGGGCATTCTGGGGGAATTGCTCTGAAGCAGTTTCACAGACAAAGGCCTTCCTCTATCCGCCTGCAGCAGGCGCCCTGCTTGGGGTGTAGGGCTGGCAGGGGGTAGTGGCAGTGACTGACCTGTTCTACTGTCCACATAGAAGGCCAACGTCCCATCATCATAGACCTTCTCTATACCACAAAATCATTTCTTCTATTAACTTGGTAGGACCCCAGCTGGCTGAAAATCGAAAGTGGTGTCTTAAAGTGGAAATATTATACATTTGTTGCCTGCAGCTAATGGATCGGGGTCATTTATATTTGGTAAGGTTCTCGGTATCGAATGTGGACTTTGCATCTTCCGCACCATAAATCAGGCTGCAAGACAGCCCTTGAACTCATGGGTAGCAGCGCGTGAAGGTTTGGCGAGGGCGGCTCGGGATGGTGATCCAGCACACGGCTCACGAACGCTGGAAGCTTCCTTTAGCGAGTGCACGCCGCAGGGCGGTGGCAGCTTGATGTACGGCCTCAATGTGGCGTCTCCCTGGGGAGGGCGGGGGCAGCACTGGCCGGGGGACGGCGGTGTGCCTCTACGGTGACTTCAGGCAGCACACCGGTCCTTTGGGGGGATGGAGACGTCCTCAGAGAGCTTGAGGGAGACTGTTTATGCTGCTCAGCGCAGCCCTTTACTAAACTGCAACCTCAGTCCTGAGGCAGAGTCTAAAATGATCACAAGGCATAAGCCGTACTTCCTGTATTGCTTTATGTATTCATTGATACATAAGGTTATATGTATTTTTTTTCAACAGAAAAGATTAGCTAGGCCCTTTTCACAAGGATGCCATGCATATTTGTGATGCATTCTGTATTGTTTGTAGGGGTGATATGTGTTAGGACTCTGTGCCTGTAATCAGAAGGGGGCAGGTTTGAATCCCAGGGTTGGCACTGTGGGTTTGCCGCTGGGCCCTTGAGCAAGACCATTAACCCCCAGTTGCTCCAGGGATTGTCTGATTCTGCTTTCTTAAAAAATATATGTCGCTTTGCATAAATGTGTCTGCCAGATAAAATGTACATTTAAAACTAAATAATCCGAACTATTGTTAAAATTAAATTTGACATGTAAATAAGTATTTAAAAGATATTTAATAAGCAGTCAGAGATACACAGCAAATAGCAATAGATCAATTCTATGGTAGATGTTTAGATTTTACAAAAAAAAACATCTTACGAATTTTCTGGAATCTTATGTTTGCCAGTTAATTCAGTACCAGAGCATCTGCTTTTAATCATTGCTTTCGTTATTAGCATTGTCGTGTGGTAGATTGCGGCTTCATTCCAGCCATCTCTGTGGACGGGGGAGTTCACAGACAGTTCAGGTTGAGTGTGCTGGAAGGGGAGTCTAGGTGCCTGATGTGGGTGCTGCCCCCTGCAGGTCATCCTATCCATTGAGGAGGGCTACCGCCTGCCCGCGCCCATGGGCTGCCCCCTGGCCCTGCACCAGCTCATGCTGCATTGCTGGCAGAAGGAGCGCAGCCACCGGCCCAAATTCAGCGACGTTGTGGGCTTCCTGGACAAACTCATCCGCACCCCCAGCAGTCTGCTCACACTGGTGGAGGATGTCCAGGGGTAAGACAGGAGATCAGTAGGTGCCGATGTGCTGACGATTCTAGGCTTTTGTTTTGGCTGCCATTTCATTTGTTTTCAGGAAACATGCATGTATGTATGTTGCAGCTTATATGTGCATGTATATCATATTATGTAATGGGAAATGGTCCCCACAATGTCAAAATAATACATTTTGTCACATTCTGGGGGAGACACTTGGTCTCCACGAAGCAATATAAAGATAATCCACACACGCACAGAAAATGCCTATATGCAAATATTATGCTACTTATTATGTCTTGTGCTTGCTCAATGACACTACCTCGTTTTCTTGTGCATGTGTACAATGACAATAAAGTTAACTTTGACTTTTAGGCTGCATGTGACAAAAACCATGCTTTTTAGAATTTCTATTTATGACTTACCATAAAAGAACTATGCAGTTTTGGAGAAACATTTGTATACATTTTATTCTTACATGATTCTTCCCCTAAAATTTCTTGATTTTTTTTTTATCAGTAGACAGTTACATTTGTTTTCCAGCTAGACCATTTTCTAGAGAATGTCTAAAGTGTCCTTGATAATATTTTTGTGCCTTATAGTTTACCAGAATCTCCTGGAGAGGTCCATGCCTATCCTCTGTATATCTCAATCGATGATTGGCTGGATTCCATTAAAATGAGCCAATACAAGAACAACTTCCTTGCCGCAGGCTTCGCCACATTGGATTCCGTCTCCAGAATGAGCATTGAGTGAGTGAGCCTTTTGTCAATAATAGTGATGGTAGTCACTACACTGTATGGAGTGGACACAGACAGGAGGAAAAAAGTAATACTTTTTATGTGTCTGCAATGTGACTTACAGATATCTGTTTTTAAATTTACTGAAAAAGACTTAGCATCTTCCGCAAGATGTTCAAGTTTGCCCAAGACCAGTGTCATGTCAGAGCAGGCCTGTGCGCTAACCTTGTATTTCTTGTTGACTTCGTCCATGTGCTGTTTGTCTGGCTCAGGGACATCAGGCAGATCGGCGTGACTCTAATCGGGCACCAGAGGAGAATAGTGAGCAGTATACAGGCGTTAAGGCTGCAGCTGCTTCATGTCCAGGAAAAGGGGTTTCATGTATGAGACTCCCATCCGGCAGCCCAGGACTGTGCCTCAGTCACCTTGTCACAACCCATCTCTGTGCTCTCGCTGCAAAGGCCTCTCTTCCCCGTCAAACGACTCTCTGGCTTCCCTTGACTTCCAATAAACCAATGCAGTAATCAACATTGTTTAGAAGAACAAGTGTCCGTTTTTCTTTTTCCCAGACAAAGGACAGTGTACTACTGACTGTGCTTTTCCAAAAGGAACTGCTGTAATGACATTTCTCCACTCAGCAACAAAACTGATACTTACAGTTGTTTGGTAGATTCGGGAATGTGACCTACACTTTTTTTCCATGTTTTGTGACCATGTAGCTGCTATCAGATGTGAAATCAAAGGACTGTCCTTGATATATTTATGATTTTTATAAGTAAATGTTTTAAGGTGTTCTTCTTAATTTATTAAACTTCTTCCCAGAATATATGGTATGCAGATACTTGAAATCTTTGAAAAGCCAACTCTTAAGTACAAATTGAATGTTCAACTTTTACATGTATAATCCATTTACTGATTATTATAAACCTGATATTTATCTATGTGATGTTCTGTATGTGAAAACCCTAGTCAATTTCAATTATATTTCCTTAGATATATAATTACAGTTTTCTTTATCATAGCAATATATGCAGTTGTTTCAGGCAAAGACATGCATTAAAAGTGTACACTGTCCTATTTAACAAATATTCAACACTGTCCACCTCAACAATTATATTATGAAATATGTATGCTTTAAAAATGCAGCTGAAAAGAGCTGAAAATGGTTGTAGATATTAGATCTTTTTTTTGGACCTAATGTTTGCTGTATGAATGAAAGCTGGGTCTGTGTTCATCCTTCATCACCAACATGCGGGCCAAGTATTGTCCTGTTGTGATCAGAATTGAGCAATGATTTTCTCCATAACTAGGAAACGGTAATGATTGAATCAATCGACTGAACCAATCGAAAAAATATTCATTAAAAAAAGTAGGGTTTCTATATGCAGGTTGTGAAGAATTACATCGTCCCATACAGATCTTCAGTACAAATTGCAAGAGGGAGAAGTGAAAACCTACTCTGGGATATACTTTCATTCGAATGGTAATTTCCACACACTCACGCCAAGCAGCACCCTTATCCATACCTCTTATTATCAGAAAGAAAGCCTTCTTCTGGACAAAAAGAATATTCAACTAGTGATCCTGTATAGCAGGATTTTGCAGTAAAATTTCAAACTTTCTCACACAGGACACCCAGAGACACTGGAGCTGGATAAACACTGTTTAGCATGGTACTGCTAAGCAATGGGAGGCAATCTTTTGTACAAAGTACAAGTACTTATAATTCTTGTATTTTATTTTTCTATAATTTCCAAAGAGGCATTGTCAGGTCTTACAGACTATATACGCCCATTTATGAAGATATTCATTTGCAAATAAAAGTTAATAGTTCTGGTGGTGACCTGTTGTCTGTGTGTACCCGTGTCTGTTTTTTTCCCCATTATTTTTTATTATAATCATTATTATTAGTAATAGTAGTAGTATTAGAATTATTATTGATTATTATGATGATGACAACAATGATGATAATCTTCACACACTTCATGCTGTATAGTGATATAGCTAGTCTGTGTTTCTGGTGCCATAATTTTCTCTCTAAAATGTTCTAGAATTCAATATACACATTTTAATGGTTAAATATGGGAGGTAAAATGATATGCAAAAAGTAAAATGAAAATGATAAAATGAAAATACAATCCCCACTTTGCCATTTAGGTTTCAAAGTCTAAAAACCCAGCCAAAATTAAAATAAAGTAACACTATTTCAATTTTAATTTTTCCACTCATTTATGAGTCAGATGTATTTAAATGTAATTAAAAAAACCTTTTTGTCTTTTCATTTTCCAATTTGACTTTTCATTTCCTACTTTTTAATTTTCAAGTTTACAACATGCAAATACGGGTTAATTAGAGCTGGGCAGTGACCGGAGATATGGATGACTTGCGCTTTCTTAGTGTGTTTGCTGATTCCATTGTCCTTGTGTTTCCCGACATGGTCGCCCAAACTAATAAGAAGCTAAATGAACCGGAAGCTACAAATAAGTAGCTAACGTAGGCCATATGTGACTTTGCCATTAGTTTGGGCGATTTTGCGCAAGGAACACGACGACAACGGAATCGGCAGAATTATTTTTTTTGCAGGAAATACCTTCCATAGTTAAAAATAGCAGGATAACTAATTTTGAAATTCTGTATGATGCATGATGGGTCTCATATCATTTCCAATTGCGATTGTAATTTCTGCAGGGGAGCTTTAATGCACAGGCATACCCAGGGTGAGGCCCGGGACCTCTGCTGAAAAAGAGCCTCGTATAACTATGTTTAATCAAATTTTAAACCTGGGGTTGCCCCCTGTCATCCCATAATGAAAAATAAAATGGTCAGTGACATTTTAAACCAATGGGGGATGTGATCTGTGCTGTATTTTCTTGAACAGGCCAAAATACAATTTAATTCCACCCCCACCCCTCAGTTTAGAAAATCACATTGTCAAAAAATATAGATCAGATCATAGTGCATATATTTATATAAGGGGTATTTCATTTGGCTTTAATTATAGTTTTGGACAGAATAAATTAAATTCATGTGTGACTTGAGATGTGAGAAGAAGAAAACCTGGAAATACATATTGATTATAAGAGTTTATAAATATAGATTATATAAATATGCATGTAACGTTTATTGACATTTTTACAATATCTAATTCCGTTAACGTGATAATAATGATTTTATTATTATCAGTACTCGAGTTGAGGGGGGATGAGGAGGGATGTCATCCCCCCTGAAATAAAAACAGTCAAAATTATCCCCTTTCTAAAACTAACATCCCCCGTTCCATCCCTTGTGCTATTTTACCAATGAATGCATTAGTGATGGCCGATTTGCGAACGAATCGTTCTTTTTAACTCGGTGTTTTTAGTGAACATGTTGAACCGATTCGAAAGTCTGAACGTATATAATTTTAAAATTATTTTAAAACGTTTTTTAAACTGATCTTTGGCTATTCAACCTCCAAAAGCATCCCCCGCGATTTCGGATTTATTTTTCATGTTCCGTCTGCGCTTGTCTTATCACTTTTACGTTCATTCTTTTGTTCGTCACTTACATTCGTCACTTTTGCGTTCGTAGGCTTCCTTCTGGTGCCGAAAACACCCGAACGGCCGAGTACCGGACCGTCGTGAGACACGGTTGCTGTATAAGTGAAGGGAGACACACGGTCTAACTCGATGACTCCAAAAAAAAGAGCAAGAGCCTGGAAAATTGACAACAAAAAACATGATTATGAAAATCTTTGGCAACTTCTTTTATCTTTTATCCAAAAAAACATCTGTTTGTGCTATATATTTGTGTAATTTGTAAGATTAATTTCAGATTTTGTAAATTGTTTCAATGGTTTCATTCTTTTGTTTTTGCATTTGAATTAAAATGGACTTGATTTGACTTGAGAGGATTCATATGTTCATTTACAAGTTTTGTTTTGTTTTCATTTTAATAGATGAATTACCAAAAGATTTCAAAGTACGATGAGTATGAAGCTGCACTTGAACCAAGTGGGAAAAAGTGTCCATTTGACCCTAACTATGGAGCATGCGATAGCTATGCCAGCCAGGGGACTGACTCCAATTCTGAGGTGCCTTGGTCAGGATCAATGACAGGAGTATCTGACACGTAACATCCGCAATATGCATGTTGTTTTAGGATAGTAGAATATATTAATTATGTTTTTGCTTAAACAACAATAAAAAAGGGTACACAGTTGGTCATCCACCATGTGCATTGTCATCAGCACAAAATATGTCTGATAAACGATAAAATTCACCATCCCCTCTGATTTGTTTTTACAACTCGACTACTGATTATTATACAGGCCTACAATTCCCTTTTCACCAGGTTGATTACTCCCTGTCATTGTCATCTGGATGGTTAAAGTGCTCTTTTTCCCCTTTAGGTGGCGATATTGAGCACGTTTTTGTAGTATCTTAGCAACGTCGCGTATATTTTTCGCCTCTCGAAAACCTGCGGATTTGCCGCCACGGCCGTTCTAACGGTGAAATATTAAGAAATAAAGCAAAACAGCCACGTTTGCCGGTACGTACACGTTTGTTTGGAGGATTCGAAAGTGAAACCGAAAGTTGGCCGCGTTGCCGGGCCTTACCGCCGTTGCTAGGTGAACGGCCTCTTTTTCTGCATATTTGTGTTGGATTATCGGCTTGTGTGTGTTTGTCTCATTTCTCACTTTTCACTATGCCAGATGTGGAAAATATATATCTTACGCGTGAGCTCCATAATTTAATCTTGATAATCGTCACCGAGTCGCTATGCTGGTATAACTCGTAAGAAATATCGTGTTTGCTAGTCCACTTAATTTGAGGATTATCATGTTTACATATATACGGAAATCTCTGCGGAATAAAAGCAGACAGCTGCATTCTGGCTAGCGGGTGAAAATGCTGGAGAGCCATTTTACAGAGTATCGCTGACTGCTACGTGTACGGTGTGGAGAAATGGGGAACTTCGTTTATCCATAATGACACTTTTTGTGTGAAATATTTACCAACAACCCCCCCTCCAGATATCTACTTGTTTGAGACGTCTGCACAAGGTACCCGGTGAGGTGGTCATTTTGGTTTAAAATGCTGAGAACCCGACACGCACTGAGACGCATACTTTGTATGCATTTTATGGAAGTCGTGTAACTACCATATAGTACCGTGATTTGTTTCTTTGTCGAAAAGCATATTTATTTTGTGTGATAATTTCATGTATGATTCGAAATCAGATAAAAATAGAGATGGAAGTCATCTGAGTTGACAGTCATGGTACCTTAGGATCTCTGACATAAACGCCATCAAAATGGCAGACTGTAAGTGAAAGCAGGCTGGTAGTTAAATCATTCTATCTGATGCTTTGAACAGGACTGTGTCACAGGGTGACCCCAATGGGCCTGTTCGACAAACTCGCTGGATGGCTCGGCTTGAAGAAGAAGGAAGTCAACGTGCTCTGCCTGGGTCTGGACAACAGCGGCAAGACCACCATCATCAACCAGCTCAAGCCGTCTAATGTGGGGCGTCTATAACTTAAATGGCTTTAATTACAACTATTCCTCCATCTTTAACTTTGAATGCACTGCATGCCGTGGCTGTAATGGCTGATTATTTAAAATGGGTTAAAACTTACTTATTGGATAATGCAGTCCTCCAGAAGTTATCTAAAAAAATCTATTCCATAAATTCATCATACGTGTGTAATTGCTTCATCATAAACAAAAAAAGAAGTTTTGTTTTAAAAATATTTTTGCAGGTTCATGCATAATGTTCAGTGTGTGGAGAAAAGTTATTTTTTGATAAATTGGTAACACTTTACTTGATGGGCCACAAATAATATAGTATTACTTTTCTGTTAATTAACCGCAAACTAAGTCTTAGTTACATACTGATCTCACGTTAATACATCATTAATGAATTGTGATGCATGTTTTATTTTTGTTACTATATCTGTTAATTTTGTAAACTTTGTGAACCACTGAAGGACCAAGTCATGAATAACACAAGTTGAATACTGATCTAATATTTGTTCATCATAAATGAATCATGAACCATCATTTATCTCAAGTAGCAACAATATTTGTTCATAATCTGTACTTCAGTAGTAATTGAGTTACTAAGTATTTGTGCCCTGTCAAGTAGAGTGTTACCAATCAATTTATGTTATAAGACGTGAGCTTAATGCTGTTTCTGCAGTTAGTTACTAGAAAAATGGAATATGAGGTCCCCCTTGTGTCCGTTATTGCACTGAAACTTAATTACCCTTTACGGGTGCCTGTCTTTGGGGATACATTGTGTATTTATTTTGAATAGATTTTTTTTTTAATTTCCTTTATTGTAGTCCATCCAACCATTGTCCAACCCGCTTATCCTACTGGGTTAATTGCTTAAATGTTTACCAAGTAATAACTTTGTTAATTGGGGAAAATGGTTGTTTTTCAGGCTCAGACACAAGACATAGTCCCCACGATAGGCTTCAGCATAGAGAAGTTTAAGACATCAAGGTATCTGCTTGCTTAGTTTAGTTTAATATGAATCTTGTTAATCAATGCTTATTGACAGTGGGTTTATCAGCAATCTTATACATTTCATATTTCTGTCCTGTCAAGTCTGTCCTTCACAGTTTTTGACATGTCGGGTCAAGGCAGATACAGGAATCTGTGGGAGCATTACTACAAGCAAGTATTGATTTTTCTGTAAAAAAAAATTCAACCTGAATTGTCATAAACATAAATGGCATTTAAAGAGCAATAATTATGCTTGCAGGGAGGGTCAGGCCATCATATTTGTCATAGACAGTGGGGACAAGCTGAGAATGGTGGTTGCCAAAGAGGAACTTGACACACTTTTGAATCACCCAGGTAACTCATTTGTTGTTGTGTTATCAGGGCTAGCAGAAATGCACTTGCTATGCTGCATGCTTATTGACCTCTCATCAGGATTCTTAACGATTTCTTATTTGTTGGTAAATGAGCACTGTGCTATTTTATATTGATAGCTAATTGTGGTTGAATTCACAAGTGACGTCATTTTCAGTGTAATGATGCTATTTTAAACTCTTCCTTTATTTTCCCTCATATTTAGACATAAAACACAGAAGGATTCCCATTTTGTTCTTCGCAAACAAGATGGATCTGCGAGATGCACTGTCCTCTGTGAAAGTTTCACAGCTGCTCTGCTTGGAAAATATCAAAGACAAACCTTGGCATATATGGTAGGCAGTTGCTTTCACAGTGTGTAGAGATGTAAGTATTCCAGGGCACTATTCTGATCCGCCCTGGGAAGTTGAAGCTTTCTGGTTCTTTCAGGATCAGGTATAGTAAACAAGACCTGGAGAAACTTATGCATACAATTATCTCCAATATATTGGACTATTGTAATGGTCTCCTGACTGGTCTTCCCCAAAAGACCATCAAACAACAAATGTAGTAATTATGCAGCTAGACTGGTATCTCTTTCCAACGAACATATAAAATGCCCCAAATGTTACTTTTAAGTCCTTGCTAAAAAGTTTTATTCTTCTGTTTTCACAATTTATGCAACCAGCATTCTCACTTTTAATGTTAACTGTTTTATTCTTTTGATTTTTTTCTTCATGTTTTATAACCATTTAACTGTATGCATTTTATTTTATTTTCCATAAAGCACTTTGAATGACCTTTGTTTGAAAATGTGATATACAGTGGTACCTCAGAACTCGAATTTAATCCATTCAGAACTCCGGATCGAATCCTAAAAAGTTCGAGTTGTGATCGAATTTTCCCCATAAGAAATAATGGAAAACCAATTAATTGGTTCCCGACCCCAAAAAATTACACCTAAATATGTTTTTTTTTTTTTTTTAGCATTTAAACACAAAATGAACCAGATAAAACAAGAAGAGCATATACTGTACTAAACACATCTAAGCACATTTATCAAAACAGTAATTTGTAAAGTACGAAAATAAATGTATCCAAACAATGTGTCCTGCCCCGATCGTCTGCTCCTTCCGTGTGCCACGCCCCCTCGTTAACAACGTGTGGAATCCCCGTGTGATCAGCTGTTTCTGTTTGTTGTCATTAGCCCTCTGTATTTCATCCGCGTTTGTTTGTTTCCCCAGTCCGGTCATTGTATTGTCCGTGTGCGGTTTGCCTGCCTTTCCTGTAATTAAACCCCGTATTCCCCGATACCCTGACGTCTGCGCCTTTGTCTCTGTTGTGTCCCTGCTTGGCACAACAGTATTATTATTACTGTCTATCATTGTCTAAATGTGTTTTTACTGTCTAAATATGTGTATTCAGTTAGTGTAAACATGCACGGTGCTATCATGGCGAATGTGAGGCTGAGACTGAAGCTTTACCCTTTGTTTCCGCTGAGAGACGTGCCGCGTGACTCATTTCCCCGCGTGTACAAGTTATTTTAGGTCGGCGTTCACGGTTTGGCTTCTGAGATTCAGATCGAGCTCTAGGTAATTTTTTTTTCCAAACTGTTTGGTTCGACTTTTAAGAAATTCGAGTTCTAATGAGTTTGAGAACTGAGGTACCACTGTACAAGTAAACTTAACATAATAGTTTAGGTTATTTTTCCATTGTATTTTCATTTCAGTGCAAGTGATGCTGTGAAAGGTGAAGGCTTGCAAGAAGGTGTGGACTGGCTTCAAGGTAGTGTTCAGTTTCAAAATGGCTCTCTTTTAGTCTGATGGTGTTGAAGGGAGGACAGCTATGATTTTATTTTGGTGCTATTTTCATTTGTAAACCTGTTTCCCTTCATTCCATATGTAATGGGAAATTATGGTATAATAGAAGTTTTTTATGTATGGTGGTGGTGTGTTCTGCCTTTTCCATCTCACTTGTTGAAATACGTACACGCATGAATGGATAAAATTCAGTTCACTTTTTCTACATGTATAGAGAAAATCGCCATGTACTGTAACTATTGAGTCACTTTGGAGTTCATGTTGTGTTGGTGAACTTTGTGTTTGAAGCATGTAGCATTAGAGCCTGCTTGTGCTTCTATGCTTCCTATGTTAAATTTGATGTAGCTCCTTAAACTGTAAAGAGTAAAGTAAGAAAAGTCAAGTCTTCTAGTTCATAAGATGACTGCAGAAGCCCCTTTTTACACCTGTTCACTAAGCCAGTTGTGGTATTTATGGAATAACAGCATCTGAGTAACTCTGGTTCTTAAACATCATGAACATGTGTGCATATTCCTAAGTCGTATCAAAAGCTATACTCTGTCACCATCAGCAGGGGCTCATTTGGACCTATTTACAGGTAATAAGAAAAGTTCATTCATTCTTTCCCTGACAGATCAGATCAGAACAATGAAAACATGAACATTATCAGGACAGGAACTGAGACAGCATGAGAACACCAACAGCATCCTCTCAGACTGGTCTGAAGCTGTCCCCAGAAGAGTCCTATTCAGCCTGACCTATGTCCCAGTAAGTCTGGACTTTTGGCCTTCTGTAGTGACCACATTGCTAAAAGAGAAGGTCTTTTTTTATTTATTTTCTTTACTTAAGGTAGAACAAATGCTTACTTATATAAAATGTACACATTTTTTTCCACCATATCTCAACTTATTTTTTGTATTCATGCAAAACAGTAATTACTTTTTCTGGACACTGCATAAGACTTATAGTTGCGTATTCTGCTTGCAAGTCCAGCAGATCAATGCGGCAAGGCATATTTACCAGTTCTATAGAAACTGAAATAGTAGTTTACAATAGCCTGAAAAAATTTAAATTTCACCACTTCCAGCTAGTATGTGCTTATGATCTACTGTATCTCCAGCAAATTAGCTTTCATGGCAGGCAGTCACATGTGCTCTGATCTGAGCCTGGCCTAACATTTTATGTTGCTTTCATCTGCTTGTTTTTTTATGACCCATCTCTGCTGGAACGTAATGTAACAGCTAAAGTTCCAGATGTTTGTTTGGTTAATAATTGTGGCATTAGTATACAGTCACATTGACTCAGTACAAATCCTGTTTTTCCTCTGTTCTGTTTAGTGTAGGATTGGGTGCCCTGTGTATGGCTGATCTTCAGACACCAAACACGCATAATAAGCTGTGTCTGGTTGGTGTCTTCACAGCACAAGAAGCCTATTTGGGGAACTTAATATTTTAGAGAATGACACCTTTAAAGGTTGGCTTTTGCTTAGTACATGCTTTTCGTCCATTTCAAATAAATATCATCAATCTAATTAATCAAGACAATATAAATGAATCAGATAAGTAAACCTACAGACTCAGGGAAATTTTGTCCAGTACTTGTGGAAGTAATTTAAAAAATAATTTTAACAACATTTCAATAAAGGGAATTGATTTTAAACAATTTTATTTCACAAGCTAGATAATGAATATCCATTTATTGCTGAATTCTACAGTACACTAAATAATATTTACTGTAATAGCATAAAGAGCAACTATTGCTTGTGACTCAATGGTCATTGTCATTGCCTCTTTGGTATACATTCAAACAGATGTTTTCATTTGTCTGAATTGATACTGGAAAGATGGGGTTTACCAAACTATCTGGCAAAAGCATAGGTGTTCATTCTGGAAAAACTGGTGTGGTAAACCTAAAATCTGTATAAGCAGTTTAAATCAAAGGGATGCTGTATGTACATTAATAATGTACAATTATACACTGTGTGAACCTGCTTTCCTTGTTTATTCTCCCTGTGTTTGGCTAATGTGACAACAGTTGTCCTTGTTTAGTTGAGTTCTGTTGAGTGGACTTCATTTATTTTGTGAGCATTGGGACTAGGCTGTTCTGTAAACTCAAAAGTAGCCAATCTTGTGGTTATATAATGGATCTATTATTGTGTTGTAATGTACAGCACAATATAACTTAAGAGTATTATTGTGCTCTTAAGAGTGATTTCCATATTTTGATTATCTCTTATGTTTAAAAAAAAATACAGCAACTGTCAACAAAGTACATTTAGTCTTCATGTACTTAAGGCATAACTCTTAATGTCACTTTGTACCTGTCAAAGCATCTTAAATTTATGTTTAAGCAAGGATGGCATTTATTCTGTGCTTTTAAAACTTCATCTGTAAATTTAATATCTTCAAAATATGGAATCAGAATATAACAGTAAACTGAGTTAAATTCATAATATTAAACTTTAGCTGTACATTCAAATATATATTCATCAAGTATATTTGAAGTTATTAAAACATATTAATAAATATAATAATGCTGAACGTGACTTCATACATAAGCATATGAATAAACTGTGATTGGTATTGATTAAATTTGTGGAAATATGCAGGGGAAAGAACAAGTAATTCTGTTCTGACCTAAAAGTACTCTATAAATCCTTAAGGAATGTGTAGACCATCTCAGTGTGGAAATGAGCACTAGCATTCAGGAGGCTACACAAATTCTGGAAGGTGTCTAAATCCTCATTATGATTTGCTTTAGAGAGGGAAAACACAAAGAAAAACATAAGCAAAAATATGAAAAGATTTCCAAATGAATACATGGATAACTCACTGCCATACGAATATAAACTAGTGGGCAATTAAAGAAATACAAATACAGTACGTAAGTTATTTTATGGTTTGACATAACTGAAGTGAAGTCATACTAGACAGAGCTTTGTAACATTTCACTCAGCCTTTACCTGCAAGGACCACTTCATACATTTCCATGGTGACCTCAGAGAACATGTTCTCCACACTCTGTATGAAGGACCACTTGTCTGGGGCAGTGGAAAAAAACTTGCAGAGGTGTTGCATCATCTTCACTGACCAGTTCATGCAGTAACCATCCTTCTCACACACCTGATAATGCATATTATTCAAGAAAGACTCTGATGACCATAAACAGGCTGAACACTGCTGAGGTGTCTCCTAAAATCCGATACCAAATATGCTCAATCAGTTAGTTTGTGTAAAATTATTTGTACACCATAACCTCAAGCATGCACTCACCAGGATAAGAAATGCTATGAGCCTAGCAATCTCAAACAGCCTTCCATTGATGGCCTTGCTGGCTAGGAAACTGTAGCAAATGCTGTTTCCACACAGAATGAGAAGACGTGCCGTGTTCTCCATGTGCCAGGCCTGTGGCAGCACTGTGAGCCATTGGGAAAACATCAATTGGCAAATATGCAGAAGGACACCATATGAAAATCAGCTTACAGATGCTGATTAGCTTGACCATATCCTAAACCTGTCTTAACCAGACATAAAGCAAATAGTGACATTATAGCAAGTACAGACACTCCTCACTTCACAACAGAGTCCCATTCCTATGACCTGATCGTTAAGCGAGTTGGTCGATAAGCGAGGAGCCACCCTTTACAGATATTTCAAGTTTACTGTACTGGTACTGGGTTTGTGTCGACCACCTTTAGATATTGTTTTAATGTCACCTTTGCACCATTTATAACATTTTTAGTATATTTATAAATGTTTACAGGTAGCAGTTAACCATTTTTATTTATTTTCATCTATTTCGTACTATGGGGTGCACAATAAAGTACAAATTTATAGACAAAATATGTAGTCTTGGAGCCGGCAAATGCTAGTGTAGTGAATATTGACTGACTGGAGGAACGAGACTGACAGAGGGTGAGGTGAGATGAGATGCTTGACAATGAGATGTCGCACTGCTGTTTCCATGACCAAAGTTCTCGTACAGTGTACAATACCGACTGGTCGGAGAGCTGGTCATAAGTCCGTGCAGTCATTAAACAGTTGGGTCGTTAAGTGAGGAGTGTCTATATCAGTGGTCACCAACCTTTTTGAAACAGAGCTACTTCACGGGTGCTGAGCCATATGAAGGGCTACCAGTTTGAAACGCCCTCCTAAAACTTATCTAAACTTCATGTATTATACAAATGTTTTTAAAAATTTAAATGCTGTTTTTTTTTTTTTTTTGATATTGTCATTTTCGAATCTATATAAATGCAAATGTGATTAAAAAAGAATAGCAACAGGATAAAATTAAATTTTAGACGCTGCTAAATGGTGAGTTGTGCTATTTTTAGAACAGGTCCGTGGGTGACTCGTGTGGTCCTTGGGGGGCATCCTGGTGCCTGCGGGCACCATGTTGGTGACCCCTGGTCTATATAAACATGCTGTTTTCACAGCGTGGCTGCATTTCCATTTTGCTATTTCCAATGACCATTAATTGTTTTAAAGGACTGATCTTTGGCAACTGGTGTACAACACATGCTGGAAAATGAACCTAGATTTTCAACAGTATGTCATTGCAGGGTTGTCAAGATGGAAAGTGATGGTACAAAATTCATATAAAATAATAATCAGTCCTTCCAGATAGCTACCTGTCAGTTCTTCAATGATACTCAGGATGGTGTCAGCAGTCCAGTCTTTGGAATCTGCGTGAAGCAGGAGGAGTGCCTTGGCCAGGTCCCACAAGGCACCCTGTGCTAGCACACCATCCCCTACCTCATGCCAGGCAATCTTACCTGGGAGGTTCAACCAGTCAGGTTATCTCAGACAAGCATTTTTCTTTACTGCTAAAGCAAAACAGGTCACTGGTCTATGCTGAAAAAGCAGGCAAGAAAATAATCATAAAATATATACAATACAAACTATACGGAAGAACACCTTCATAAAGTGAGTACAACAGAGAGTGCTGGCAGGTGAACTATGCCTGCACAATGTGCAACGTTAAAATCAACATCGCATGCACATGCAATTGTTACATCGCTAGTACTGTGATAGTTGGCTTGAGACCAGTCAGTTACACTAAAGCATTTTTACTCTGTCACTGGAAACAAAACTCCCAAGATTTGTAATTTTAATGATTGATCCTTTTCAAGATCATCTAGTATATGTTTGGAAACCTAAAGTTTACTTCCACTTGCATGAGCTTTGCATGTGCTCTACAAGCCAGTCATAATCATTCTCGTCCTTGCTGTTGGACTCACTCATAGACAGTGTAGTGTGTTTGTGAGAAATTTAATATGACTGCGGTTGAAGAAAAGTGAACAAGAACTGATCACCAAATGACATTCATCTTTTGCGGTATGGGAATTTTTTTGGATCCCACAATGATTTTTTCGTGACTGTTTTGTGTCTGTTTCACACTGCAACATGTGTAAGAGAAGTTATTTACCATGCTGCTGTTAATTTTTATATGTGCATTTAGGTTTGTAGGGTTATTAAAGTTTAATTCATGTTCAGTGAAATTCCTTCTTAAAAAAAATTATGATTTTTAAATGTTTATGGTTAAAACTACTGACTTGCCTTTCCCACTAAAAACAGACTACTGGAAGGTAAGTTCTGTTTGACTACAGTTTATTTGGGCTAAAATTTCACCTGGAGTAAAATTAGCACACACGGTAGACCAAGCACAGTGAGGCTGTCACCCCCCCCCCCTTTCCTCCTAACTGTATAACAGCTTTGATGCTTTGCGAGGGTTAATATGCTGCAGACAGTTAAAAGTAACCCTTCTACAAAAAAGGCACTACCATTTGGTTGAAGTGGGCCGTAGAGGATGAAGAGCAGCCGTGCCTGACTGACCATAGGCCAGGGCTTCAGGATGCAGGTGAGCCAGAACAGAGTGTCCCGTCCATTCTGCCAGGGGTCCAGCAGTACATTCCTGCAGAAGAGTCTGATCTGCAGCTCCAGCCTCTGTAAAGCTCCTGCCAAGAAAGACAGCCTCAGCCTTACACAGCATCACTTCTTCAGCCAGCGGTTGGGGAATGCGCTACGAACCTTTGGCCCCGCCTGGCTTTCCTGTAACAGTGGTTTCCATCTTGCGGGGTAGGTTAGTGAAGTTGCAGAGGAAATTAAAAACCCGGTGACACTCCAGCTCATCCCATCCAGCTATCAATGTCTGAACAGATAAAGGTTTTTACCACACATTTATAGGCTGCAAGGGTATGTCCCAGGAGTGGTCAAGAGGTATAGCTAAATCCCACGTCTTCAATTCCAACTATATCATACGAAAGTTATCACCTGCAAAAACACCCCATAGCTGGCGAAGCCCAGACACTTTGAGGATGCTGTGCAGCCCTCCATCATGAAGCATGGAACCTGAAGCAGAGTAATACCATCTATTAAAATGCACTAAATGTTGTTAAAAGATGAAGAACATGAGTACTAATAATGCTCTTTATTGATTTCTGTTGTTAGCAATACTTTTAAAATATGGCAAACCAATTCTCTATTAATACAAGGATTTCTTAAGATATGCCTGATTATAAAAGTCTGGGCTCAAATATAGTATATGCAAATGTTTCAAGTTTCTATGTAGACTTGTTTTTCTCTAAGCTATTCTTACCTGTGAAAAACTGCTATATATGAACTTTAACCTGTCCTTTGTCGGGAATAAGAGAGTACATCTCTTGAATAATAATCCTGAGACAAAAGTTTAAAAATGGTTAAAAAACAATTATGGTGTGTGATGTCATCACACAGAAAAATGTGTGAATCAGTGGATGTTCTTACCTAGAGATTTATAGTGATCTAAAATACACTCTTCTTTTGAAGATGAGTAGTGAAACTTCTGTAAAATCATTCTGTTTCTCCAGGTATGTGTGGAAACGTAGCTCACAATGTAACTGTTGATTGCCTTGGACACCATGCTGAACACACTGGTCTCCATCACTGTCAGGGGGCACCAACGTTTTTAATTTCAAGGCTATTAATAAAGCAGTTATCTTGAAATAAAATAAAATTTAAGTCACCAGTCCAAAAAATCAGGAAAAACTAATAGAGGCACTAATTTATTTAGAGTAACAGAGGTCTGATAATGCAGAAATATATAACCAGTTCCAGCTGCCTGCCTACAAGAAAGGAGCTCCAGCACCATGTCGAAGACTTCTGCAGGTAACCTTTCAAAGAATCCCTGTGTAGACCGGGACAGGCGGCGTGTGGTCATGGTTTTGGCCGGACATGGCCGCTGGGCCCTGCGCCTGCAGTTGCGTTTGTTTGTCACCGTGAACTTCCCTGAGGTGGACTCCATCAGGTCAGGTGCTCTCTCACCTGACACTGTGGGAACAAAAGTGTGTGCAGTACATCCATGGTGTCACACTTCGGACCTTTCCCTGTAGTTCCCAGCTTTAAACATCATGCCCAATTGTTTAGCATGACAGAATGTAGTGAATAGATATATGCAACATTTTTAAAATGGGGCCATGTACCTATTATTTATATTACAAGCACATCCAGGAGGCACCAGTTTGGACAAGGGTTCAGATAGACAATTCCTCCGTTTGGTGGTCTTTTACTTCATCTTTTTAGAGAGGACAGGCCTGGATTTAGAAAAGCTGAGGAGTTTGCTTTGAGTCCATAATCTCAGGAAATGCTGCTACATTCAGACATGCTATTACCAGATAAAAACACGGTAGGTCATATAAAGGTACGACTGATTCGGTAGGGAAACATTTAAAAGCCAGTGCTAGCAGCGAAAAACAATTCAGGAAGGCCTCATTAGCGCCGCATTTCCCCGGCATATTTTGTATTAACACTTCAATTATTCTAGCCCTTGAAATGGATAATACCGTTCACCGGAACCACTACCTTACACGAAAATGAATGAAGTAACTGTAAGCTTGGACAATAAGAGCGTAATTAAGTTTTTATGAAAACGTGCTAGACCGGTGGAGGTAATTTACAAATAAGTGTAGGTAATGACGCGAGTCGGTACTCGGTCTGAGTCCCTTACTCTACTCACACATGCAGCGCGCCGACGGCCTACTCACTAATTACCGCCGCCTGAGGAGGCGAACATGAACGGAGTGAGCGTGCGAGACCGCGCGTGTGGCAGACGGTGACGTAAGAGGCGGGGAGCTGTCACTGCAGCCGCGCCAAAACGACAGAGAGTGCAGTAGGAAGTGATAGGTGCTGCTGATCAGTAACACCTGAGATCCTTGGTAGATCAAGATCACTCAAAGATTTACACTTTTTAAATGGTCAAAAGCGGCACATAATGTCCTGCAATCGATTGTTTGCAGTTAGTTTTACTTTAAAATAATTATCTGATCGGATACTCCTTCAGGGCTCGGCGTGTCCCCGCCGGTCTACCCTATGGAGTTTACTATTTGCAAGTTTGCCTGCGATGTGCGATGTTTTGGGTTCTCAGATTTCCTAACTCAGGCCCCAGATATGCATTTTTAGGTGAAATGGTGTTTCCAAACTGCCGGTGTGTTAGTGTTTGGGATATAAACAAGACAGAGTGGAAGAAGCTGCTGTTTTTCCCCCTCAGCTGAGCTCATCATCGCCGTATTTAAATTAACAAGTATCACCCTGGTTAAGCGATCTTCTTAAGTACTGAACAATGCTAATTTTACAAATGTCGAATTAAAAGTTGTGTTCTAAAGCCACCTCTTTTTGTGCACAACACAGGCAACCCCAAGATGACCCTTTTTAGAGGATTACCACTTCACTAACCTTATTAGGCTCTATATTAAGACCTAAAGAGCCTCAGGGAGCAGGCAGCCTAATGACCGCAGAGCAGTTGCTCTGGCCAGCTCGTTTCGCTGTTTTCCACTGCAGGGGTCGCATGGTTTCTGCTTGTTTTGTCTAGTTTTCTAGTTGGGGGGTTGTGAAAGCGCTGTGGTCTGTATATAAAACCTTCAGTGACACCTGCTTCCGAAAAGTATATAAGTACTGGACTTTATCAGGTACTCTAGGCTTGTTCTTGCATGTTGCCTCTTAATTTGCTTTTTTATCTGAGGTATATAGATGGATGCATATTGAAATTAACTGATCTCTCTTTTCACTTTGTAATCAGACGCATGCATTTTCGGTATGATAAGAAAGCCGGTATCACCTGTGCAGAAATATGTAGCCGGTTCCAGCTGCCTACAAGAATGGACCTCCGGCACCATGCCGAAGTGTGGGTAACCTTTCAAAGAATCCCTGTGTGGACCGGGACTGGCGGCGTGTGGTTCTTAAACTTGTTTATATTTACTGTACCTATCACTAGTCTTACTCATTTTACTTTATTATGCTTGAGATGTCTTGCAGTATTGTGCGGTATTTTTTTAGCCTACATTTTGACAGTTTCCCCATTAAAATTGTAGCAAGTACATGTAGCTATGAATAATGCGATTATTAAAAAGAGTTTAATATATTACGCATAAATATAATGCTTCTACACGAACAGACACTGATTCTTTTAAGACTGCAAAGCTCATTTAAATTAAACTACAGTTACAAATATTTCCGTTTTTTTGTGTAAGATTGCTGGCAAGCTTTTTCGGTCAGCCTGTTTGCAATATAATGAGTTATGATAGTGAAACAATGAGCATTAATGTCTCAGTAATCCGTGTCGTATATCTCAAGCTTCAGAGCCATTTACTTTTGCTGAGGTCTGAAAAGGACGCTTTGTGTGAAATGTCTGTTTAACGCCGCATCTCGGATGGCTCTGACAGCGCAGGAAGCAGCGTGAGTGATGTGTCAGTGTTGTTTGCATCTGCCCCCCTGACGGTACAATAACCTCCATTCGCTCGGCGACTGGAACGCCGCAGCTTCGTTCCAATGCCGACGATCGCAGCGAAGCTACGAGCTATAAACTGAGCGCCTGCGAGTCCGGAGTAAATGCATGGTCGGCATTGCTGGGGATGAGGAAGACAGTTTACGTATCGCAACAGGTAAGACGCTGGGTTTTCGCTGGGCTAGTGTTCTGGCTGCCGATTTGTGCCCAGTTTCTCCGTTTAAGTTGATTTATTAAAATCGGAAAGGAATAGCATTTCTGTGAATGTTGTTCTCATCCTGCAGTGTGCAGCTGGCAGTCACACTAAGAAATTCATTCATCATTTTGTATTCTGAATGTGTTACAGATTCTAAAACGCAGTGTGCATGCTGTGTAAAACCACAGAGCTTGGCTTTTGAATAAAGCATTGATCTGAAAGGACACTGAGTGCACTGTTGCCCCAGGAAGAGACATGAGGTTAGCAGATGGCATGGTTAAAAAAATCTACATTTTAATTAAAATCACTTAAGGATCAGAAGAATGGTGATGGCAGTGTGTATCTCAAGGTTACCTAACAAAGATACAGGTCTGCAAAAAATTTTTTTCAGGTGCCAAGGTTTTTTGAATGGGTTTATATGGTATTTTGAGGGTGCTGAATTTAAAAATCCCATTACTTTTGGTGAATTGGTTCTAGTTTTTGAGATAATGGACATCCATGAAAATAATGCATTCTCCCAATGCAACTTGTGTGTGATAAGAAATGCAATAGCTTTATATGACTCTTTAACAGTGCCTTAGGTAATGAAATATCCCATATAATTATTTTGTATTTCAATCATTTTTGTATGATGTTAGACTGTTTACTTACTAGTTGTAACTAAAATAAAAAATATTGCAATTCTGAATGCTTTTCAAAGGTGTTGCGTTAACTATTAAATATCTCAGAAACTAGAGCCAATCTGACAAAACCGAAGTCATATTCTTACCACCATAAACTTAATATAAAACTGTTCAGACATCATTGGCACCAAAATCACTGTATACCAGTGTTATAATACTTGTATTACAATACCTGGCAGGAATTTGTATATTAGTTAAGGAATTACCCACATAGCTGAAAAGTTCAGATCTCATTAAACATGCTGTTCCAGTAGCCCTGTAAAACAAAGTTTATGGGAAAAAAATGCTGCCCAGATAACTGGACCATTGAGACATTTTGTTATGCAGTTTCCACAATGTGGATTTAGCAACAACATTTACTATGTTAATCACAAGTCATGTACCTAATCCAGCTCTCAATCAGAAATTCAGTTTCTCAAGGCAGCATAACAGAGAATGCCCTGTCTCCTGTTTATAAAAACAAAAACATATATAAACTGTTTTTGAAGTTACTCAGTGATGCATGGGTTTGCTTTGTCCTGCGTGCCCCCTGTCACATCTCTGCTGAGCAAGCTGGTGCCAGTGTCACAGAGCAGCCTCTCTGCCTCCTGTCTTGCCAGCTGATCTCGCATGCCAAACACATCGGCACACCCGTCTAAATGTGTTGTTGTTGTATACCGTATTTTCTCCTGTTTCAGATAGAATGGATATGGCATTTTGCTTGCTTTGGTTGATTAAAGAAATGTGTATGAAAGTTTCAAGCAAAGTTCCTCCTGCTTCTCAATCTGCTGTACTGTTGTGATACCTGCTATAAGAGGAGCACTTGCTAAAAGTCCATAATGCTCTACATTACCATCATCCTGATGTCTGGCTTTGAGAGGAAGTCATTACTGCCATGTGTGTCTCTTTAGGTTTAGTTCCTGGCTGAGGCATACAGGGTTGTGTCTTGAGTAAAGTTAAATCGTAAAAATGACTGACAAAGTCATAGCACTTTCGGAGGAATGAACAGAGGGAAGAGTGTCGTCTTTCTATCCTTTTGATATTATTTATATGACATTCCAAATAAGCAAAATACCCTTCAAACATGTATTCTGTGCATAATTGCATACTTTTCTGTGCATATAATTGAGTACTTTTAGGTGAGAGGTTGGATGGTATTAGGGTAATAGGGTGGATGTTGATAAACTGGAACAATTTATGAAATTTTACTGTCTGTTCCACTTTAAAAATATGATCCTAATTATACATAGTAAAACATGAAAGTATTGAATGCTCAAGAACTGAGCTTAAGTTTATAGACCACAGAGGTATAAAGGTATAGCATATCAAACATATAAGTGCGCCAGTTTACCCTTTGTCCCACTTAACTAATACTCACCTTATAGTACACCTCAGTATTTTGGGACCACCTGCCCACATGGAAAATTGTATCATGAAGAATTCATACCGAATGTCAAAATGCCACACCATACACTGCTGCATAATGTCTGGATGGTATGAAAAATGAGATACTGCTCCGTGATTCTAGGAATGTTTCCTTCCTTCCATAGGGAGCCTTGGATACCAACATGGAAAGTATCAGATCCCTGAGGCTGTGAAACGTCATCAAACAGCAAGTTAACTGCTGGAACAGAGAAACCCTTGACTGACGAGACTGACTTGCCAGACAGTGGAATTTACATGACTACTGGGAATTTATTTCAAAGTGAAGGACTTCAGTATTGCAAGTCAAATGTGCATTGTCATATTTACTGTTTGTTAAAGATCATTTAAAGACTATTTAAATGTTTCTTTGGCTAACTACTACTTCATTATTTATTATGCCTGCTTACCTGTTGTCTTAGCCATGAGTATTTCTTGAACACGTTTACACCTCTGGACATTTCTGAAGACTTCTGGAACTTTCTGCAGTGATGGCCCTCATGGCACTCCAGCTGCTGGGTTTTCTCTTGGGCATGCTGGGGTTCTTTGGAACAGTCATCGCCATGGTGATGCCCCAGTGGCGATGCGCCGACTACGTGGGCCCCAACATCATCACGGCTATGGCGTACATGAAGGGGCTGTGGATGGAGTGCGTGTGGAACAGCGCGGGTGTCTACCAATGTGAGACCCACCGCTCCTCGCTGGGTCTGCCCAAGGATCTGCAGGCAGCCCGGGGCCTCATGGTTATGTCCTGCCTGAGCTCCATTCTGGCCATCACCCTCGCTGCTACGGGCATGGAGTGCACGCGCTGTGTCCACCGGGCCCCAGCCAAGCGAGCCCTGGCCATAGCGGGAGCTAGCTGCTTTGCCATCGCTGGCCTGCTCTGCCTGGTGACTGTGTCCTGGACCACCAGTGAGGTCATGCAGAACTTGTCCAACCCCCTCCTGCCTGACGCCTTGAAGTTTGAGGTGGGACAGGCTGTCTACGTAGGGTTTGTCTCCGCCAGCCTCAGTCTCACCGGTGGGGCAGTGTTTTGCCTCTTCTGTGGCGACTCAAAGAAAAACATCCCTCAATCCCATAATGCCTTTCAGGCTCCTAACTACCATCCCCCTGCAGAATGGAATCATGCCCTGTCTCATTACTCAACCTCCAGCAGCGGCTACAGGCTCAGTGATTATGTGTGAGCGGGGCACGAGAGAGATTATCATAAAGATGTTAAGACCCAGAAAGGCGGACATCCCTGCTTTCGGTTCATTGATGTTAAAGTTGTCAAGCTTGAGACTTGGGGCCAAATACAGACTGATTCTCATGTTTACAGTGACTGTTATCATGCTAAGAGATACACAGCGAAAAGGGGAAATGCTGGATCTATGATTTGTTATACACTATGGAAATACTATGGAAATGCTGTAGCTGACATTTTCTGTACTGGCTGAGGTGAATTCATCCAAAAAAAAGGAAACTAGAGGTTTTTAGTGCATATCACCTGAAGAGGGCTAGTATTCTGTGTAGAAAGTACAGGGCCCTCTTTGCCAAATCCTCCTGATGCATACTCTTTGTAAAAAAACAAAAAAAACAAAACAGGCTTTCACAAACCATAACTTTAAAAAAGAAGGTATAACGTGCTGTCATCTGAGGCAAACCACTAATTACAACTGTGCAAATTTACAGCATAAGCCCCCTTGCTCTGATGGGCAGCATGGGTCTTCAGACACTGCCCAGCTGTCAGTTTAATCTGTGGCTTCCTGCCAGTCACTGAGAAACTTTGCAATATGGCACCCATCTGTTAATCCCCTCAGACAGTTTTCATGAAATGAGGAGAACCATGTATATAAAGTTCTTTAGGGCAAATTAGCTGGTGTGTTACATAAGCAGCCATTGTTATCGAAAGCAATATAGATAATATGATTCCTTGTTTGTAAATAAATTAGATTTATTTTTATTTGGGCATTTTCATTTTGGCCCCTAAAGAAACTGACTTTAACATCCACTATTCCATGAACTTCCTTTTGAAACTTAGTGAAATAATGCAGTCTTTGTAAAAATGTTTCTCTGTAATGCATTTCCTTTGTCTTGCTGTGTTTTCATTTTAGCTAAATGAATAGCTAAAGCCACAGTTTACCTTATCAAAAAGTTAACATGAACATGGACGTCATGTGCAGTTAGAGCAGCTGTACAGATTGAAGTTGGATGTCCAGTATGTATAAATAAAGGAACATGTATTAAACTTAACATTGTAATCTCATTCAGTTGTGTTATCAGATTGATTGAATCTTTGCTATTGTAAAGGTACAGTCGTGCCCAAAAGTTTACATACACCTGAGTAAAATATATTCAACTTCCATTTATATATCATTTACTGTTTAATATCCTATATTCAATGCATTCCTATAATAATGTCAACCGATCTCTTTTATTTCCATGACTGATTTCAACAGCTCTTTCATTTTCAATGGTTTTATTCACAGTTCAGTTAATGAAGCTACAAAATTAGTAGGTCAAAAGTTTACATACACCAGGGTGATCTGGTGCTTTTTTGTGTTTGCAACAGCGTGGATTATCCCCAAATGGTTTTCATGTGTGTCCTATTGGTTCTTGATTGCAATTAATTTGTAATAGTTCAGGTGGTGCAACCAGGGCTGTATAAAGGACCAAAGTTACCTGCTAATACCTCATTTCTACTTGATCCAACATGTGAAAAGGAAAAGAACACTGAAGACCTAAGAACAACAATAATGCCGAAGTCGGGAAACTCCCTAGGGGCCATAGCCAGACAACTAGGAGTACCGAGGTCATCCGTCCAGACAACTGTACAGAGATATCAAAAGTTTGGGACAGTTAAGACCCCTAAAGGGCATTGGTTTGAGAAGTCCACTTCAATCCCAAGATGACAAAGAAATAATTATGCCAAGAATTGAAAGATTCAGGAATCAGTGTCTCACTGTCCACAGTCCAGAAGATCCTACATCGTAATGGGCTAAGGGGCTGCAGAGCACAAAGAAAGTCCCTTCTTCAAAAACACCACCTTAAGGCAAGGCTGGAATATGCAAGAAAGCACAAGGATAAAGATAAAGGTTTTTGGACACGTGTTCTCTGGTCTGATGAAATGAAGATGGAACTTTTTGGCTCTAATGACCAACAGTATGTTTGGCGACAAAAAGGAAAGGCCCTCAACCCAAAGAACATAGTGCCCACTGCGAAGCATAATGGTGGCAGCATCATGCTTTGGGGCTGTTTTGCTACTAGGGGTCCAGGAACACTGTGTAAGATAGATGGCACCATGAAGAAGGAGGATTACCTGGACATACTTCAGGGGAACCTGAAGCAGTCTGCTCGAAAGTTGAGCCTTGGACGTTGTTGGATGTTTCAACAAGACAACGACCCAAAGCATAAATCCAAGTTGGTCACAGACCAAAATCGATGTTTTGGAATGGTCAGCTCAAAGCCCGGATTTAAATTCTACAGAGAATTTGTGATATGAACTTAAGAAAAAAGTCCAGAAAAGGAAACCCACCAATTTGAATGAACTGTACAACTTCTGTCAAGAGGAATGGGTAAGAATCCCGTCTGAGTATTGTAAGAAGCTAACAGATGATTATCCTACTAGACTGACTGTAGTTCTAAAAGCTAATAACAATGAAACAAAGTATTAGACAATATGAGGTTGGGGTGTATGTAAACTTTAGACCTACTAATTTTGTAACTTCAATATTTGCATGGTAAATAAAACCACTGAAAGTGAAAGAGTTTCTGTAATCATTCATGGAAATAAAGAAGATTGGTTGAAATGATTGTAGGAATGCATTGAATGATGAATATTTGATGAAATTATATTGAAATGGAAGTTGAGCATATTACACTCTGGTGTATGTAAACTTTTGGGCACGACTGTATGTAAGAATTTAAGCACAACATACACATATAGCAATCTAGGACAAATTGTGCAGTTGAATTAATAAGCAGTACTAATTGTAGCAGTTATCTACTATAGAATTTTGTTCTATAGTTTTGTCAGCTATCAAAGAACAAATCGATTTTTTATGTTTGTCAATGACTGAAAGAAGTCCAGATGTTGAAATGGTATGCCTGACAACCTACAATCAATTTCAGCATTTTACTGTTCTTTTGAGGGGGCCAGTGTGAGCCCCGTTAAAGGCTGACCGTCATGAGGAATAGGGCTTATCTGATGCAGCTGGCCTCAGCATTATGTGTCACATGGAATTGTTTGAGGTTAAATGTGTCAGCTTCAACAACACAGATCTTGCTGAGTGTTAATTGTATCTAAACCACAAGTGTCCCTGTTAAATCCACTGATAAGGTGTTTATACATCATATACAGTACTATGCAAAAGTCTTAGGCAGTCAAAGAAAATTATGTTTAAATGATATAAAACTTTATTGATATAAAACTTTATTATGCCTGTCAAAATGTGTCAGCTTAGTCGTAAAACCAGTAAAACCTCTCCCCAAATCACCTCAGTGTTCGCTGGAATTCGCAGTGTTTGCACACATTTTTGTTCGCAGTATTTTTGGACTCGACCACAAGCACACTTCGTATAGCTAATCAATATCTCACTGACTATTTTAACTAATTAAATTAAGTGAGCTGGTGGTGAAATTGAATAAACACATGGAATAGTTGAGGTGCCCCTGTGGAGAGCCTTGGGACCTGAAGCGGCATTCATCTAGCCATCTGACAAAGTTACAAAGTAACTTTTTGGGGAACATAAGAAATTCTTACAAGTTTTTGTTACTCATAATTTGCATGTGTTTTAATGCTAAATTGTGTGTTTTGTTCTGAGCAAAAGTGCACTTACTACCCAAATAAACAGCTTTAAACATTTCTTTTGACTGCCTAAGACTTTTGCACAGTACTGTATGACAGGTCTAGATTCAGGGGACTGTAAGTGCTGTTCTCTCTGCTCATTTGTTAAAAAATATTTAATATAAAGTCATACTATTGGTGGTTTTCAACCTGGGGTGCATATATTTATAAGTAACATGTAAGACCATGTCACTATTAAGAAACAGATATCATTGTCTCATTTGCCTCATTAAGACAAGGAACTACTCTTACCAAACACAGATCGTGCCTACTGTTCCTCACAGTTTATATGGCAATTTTTGTGTGTGGCTAATTCCTGAATTCCTGATGTACAACTCCAACTCATCCTCTGAATGCAATATTGGACCAAAAATCTATATGCATCATCTTCATGTCTTACATATGAATTCAACTGGTAGCAACAATAATAAAGTGAATTAAAATAAATAAACGAGACAATAAAATTTATCAGATACATATGAATCGGCAAGACATATAACAAACCCATACAACTCCAACACAAACCCTGGCCATACGATTGACTACAATTATGTTTTATTTGCAGAACTACTTTTCAATCAATATTATGCAAGTATTTTGCACTGTGTACCAGTTTCAGTCAAATTAAATTTTTGCATATCCCTCGGCTATGGCTAGTACGTGTATGTCCCTAACAATATTGTGGGGGTACGGTGTGTGATTTGGGGGGTTTCGGAGCTGATTTGATCCCTACTGATGTTGAGACCAAACTTATGCCTTGCCCTCAGCCCAGAAATTGTTGATCTTAGTTCATTTAGTAATACATATCCATCAACCCATTGTCTGTACCCATTTGTCTTATGCAGGGTCATTGGGCCTATCCTGGAAGCTACAGGTGTCTGGTTCTGGAGAGAAACATTTAAACTCCACACACATGGATCCAGAGTTGAGACTCAAACACCTGACCCAGAGGTGCAGGGCAACAATGCTGACTGCAGTGCCTCCATGCCATAATACATTAGCTTGCTTTTTATTTTATAAATATTTTTTTTACTGTTTGAGAAACTTGAAAATCTCATTGTCGTGATGGATCTCCTTTGTTCTTCCTATTGCTATGACAACTTTGTGCATTAAATCGTTCCCGGTGACACAATTATGTTGCATCATCTGCGCCAGGGGTAGGCAATCTTATACAGAAAGGGCCATTGTGTATACGGGTTTTCGCTGCAGCTCCTTAATTAGATTACTAATTAGAGGACTCATTGGCTGAAGTTATCACACCTGAGTTTGAACAGATGACCTAAAGGTTATCCCAGAAACCTGCACACACACTGACCATTTGCAAATAAGATTGCTTCCCCTGGTCTACTCAGGACCCGCGGTTAGCCCTTGGGTGACCACTAGGGGGAAACAGTAGCCCGTGTTACTCTCCAGAACTGGACTCCGTTTAACGTACAGGTTTTGAATATGCTCAGGAAAAATTCAGTCTAGAACGCAGTTCGTGCAAGTGATGTTTGCCAGTCTTAACTGAGTGTAGAAAATGTATGTGTAAAATTAGTTTATGCTTATCGTTTGTTTGTAAACGTTTTCTTGTTCCACAAATGTTCTGCTTTATGTGTTACGTCCATTGGTTATCCTATAGCCATCCTTTGTGGACTATTCCAAATATGATTTATATGCAACGGTCACAAACCACTAGAACAGAATGTGACCGAACACAGCAGCATTTGTAAACACCCTAAAAAACAAAAAAATAAACTGAAAGATACATACTACAGATAATCCAAATTTAAAGAAACACCAGATTTTTACCATTCTGATTAAGACTCGCTTTAGAGAACGAATTTTAACTTACATTAAATTGACCACTATATATAGCAATAGTTTGTTACGCTTTATTTGAATGCATCAACTTCGTCCTGTTCCTCGTCTAATCAAATATAGGCCTAATCTGTATACATACAGTCTAATATAATGAGTATACATTTAGAATTCAGAATGTTCGAGACAATGAAGATAGCATGCAACAATAAGAACAGTGGGGTACTATCGATTTTGGTTAAAAATTAAATGCAATACCATACGGTACTACAGTATATATAATTGATGGAACATATTGCACTTAGACTCTCCGTTTATTATAAGTGAAAGCGGTTGTTTGTGATAGGTGTGGCAAATAATGATAATAATATTCAGCTACGAATACCGCCGCGACAAAAAACTCAACTTCAGCACCAAGGATAGTGTCTTTCGCTGTCAACGGACACTTTATCACCAGCTTGTGGTATATAAATAAGTTTGCATAACAGCGCATGTAAAGAGAATAAATTATAAAGTAACAGTAAGTCGACACTGGACGTAAATGAAAGCTGCAAAACATACATCTATAAACTCACTGGTTGTCTGCCTCATGCTATTTTCAATTAAC